CAGCTCCCACATTAGGGGTATAAATATTCATGATTGTTAGGTCCTCTTGTTGGTTAGATCCTTTAAGTATGATATAGTGCCCTTCTTCATCTCTTACTACAGTCTTTGAGATAAACTTTAATTTATCTGATATGAGGATTGCTACCCCTGTTTTCTTTTGAGAACCATTTTAATGGTAAATGGTTCTCCAACCTTTTATTTTCAGGCTGCAGGTGTCCTTAGGTCTAAAATGAGTCTCTTGGAGACAGCAGATAGATGGGTCTTGCTTTTTTATTCAGCCTGAAACCCTGCGCCTTTTGATGGGATCGTTAAGCCCATTCACATTCAGAGTTACTATTGAAAGATATGAATTTAGTGTCATCATAAAACCTATTCAGTCCCTGTTTTTCTGGATTGTTTCTTTGAGCATCCTCTTTCTTTTACAGAGTCCCCCTTAATATTTCTTGCAGAGCTTGTTTGGTGGTCACATATTCTTTCAGTTTCTGTCTATCTTGGAAGCTCTTTATCTCTCCTTCTCTTCTGAATGAGAGCCTTGCTGGATAGAGTATTCTTGGCTGCATGTTCTTCTCATTTAGGACCCTGAGTATATCCTGCCAGCCCTTTCTGGACTGCCAGGTCTCTGTGGAGAGGTCTGCTGTTAACCTAATACTTCTCCCTATATAAGTTAGGGATCTCTTGTCTCTTGCTGCTTTAAGGATTTTCTCTCTATCTTTGGAATTTGCAAGTTTCACTATTAAACGTCGGGGTGTTGAACGGTTTTTATTGATTTGGGTGGGGGGGGGGGAATCTCTCAATCTCCTGGATCTGAATGCCTGTTTCCCTCCCCAAGTTAGGGAAGTTCTCAGCCATGACTTGTTCAAATACACTTTCTGGTCCTCTGTCCCTTTCGGCACCCTCGGGAACCCCAATTAAACATAGAATTTTCCTTCTGAGGCTGTCATTTATTTCCCTTAACCTTTCCTCGTGATCTTTTGTTTTTCTCTTTTTTCCTCAGCTTCCTTCCTTGCCATCAACTTGTCTTCTATGTCACTCACCTGCTCTTCTACCTCATTAACCCTCATCATTAGGACCTCTAGTTTGGATTGCATCTCATTTAATTGATTTTTAATTTCGGCCTGATTAGATCTAAATTCTGCAGTCATGAAGTCTCTTGAAATCCTTATGCTTTTTTTTCCACAGCCACCAGTAGCTTTATAATTGTGCTTCTGAATTGGCTTTCTAACATCAAATTGTAATCCAAATTCTGTAACTCTGTGGCAGAGAGTGGGAGTTTCTGATTCTTTCTTTTGTGGTGAGTTCTTCTTTCTAGTCATTTTGCTCAGTGCAGAGTGGCAAAAACAAGTTGCACTGGAAAAAGGAAGAAAAAAAAGGGAAAAAACAAACAAAAAAACAAAACAAAGAAAAAAAAAAGGAGGGGTATCCTCTGGTTCTGTATACTGTAAATCCTTTGACTTCCCCTGGAGCTTTCCAGAGCTGCTGGGTCAAGGACTTGTTCTTCCCCTGTCCTTCCAGCTGGTCTTCTGGGGGAGAGGCCTGCTGGGCTCTCAGGTATGTGCACCTGGGGTAGCTGCCCCACCCTCCCCACCAGGTGCTGGGCTCAGTGGGAGCAGTTGACCCCATTGGGCCCCTGTTCCCTGGTGGCCCCCCTCCCAGGCACAGGGTGACACCAGGAGGAACAACCCCACTGGCGGCAGCCAGCTCCCCAGCCCTGGAGTCAGCTCCCGCAGTAGCTCCCGCAGTAACTCCTGGAGCTCCCAGTCCGCACTGGTGTAGATGCTCCAGGGGCGGGGGGGGCACTGATCTGCACAGCTCGGGGTGCCCGGCAGGAGTGTCCTCACTGGCCTGTGCCCTCCCCACCTGTCCGGGGGGGGGGGGCACAGGATCCTGGGCTGTGTCCCCCAGCGCCCTGGGATCTGGGGCCTGTGCTGCTGGAATCTCACTCCTGGGGTGCGGCTCCTGAAGGCAGCAGGGCGCAGCCCCCTCCACCTGGAGCCCCCACCTGACTCACTGGCTTCTCCCTGAGGCCCCGCCAGGTACGCACTCCAGCCCTTTACCAAGATCAGCCCGCGGGGTGTGGGGCACTCTCCCCCTGGGCGCACCTCCTCTGTTAGTGACCTCAGGAATCTGGGGGCCCCACTGCCCCTCCTGGGATCCTGCCCGAGCTCCTTGCGAGCACCTTTCTGTCCAGGAAGATTTTTAAAGTTCCTGCTTCTCCAGGGCTGGGCTTTCCTGTCCTGGAGGCTCTCGCCATCCCCTTAGCCCAGATCCTCGCAGGGGCTCCTGCCCCACTGGATGCTTTTTTGTTTTATTTTTTCCCACCTTCCTACCTTATTAGAAGTGCAAACCCTTCTCTCTGTAGCATTCCAGCTGTTCTCTCTTTAAATCTCAGGCCGAATTCATAGTTTTTCAGGATGATTTGAAAGTTATCTAGGTAACTTGCTGGGGACAAGTGACTTGGGGACCCTACTCTTCTGCCATCTTGCCCCACCCCCCCACTTTCATCCTTTCCAAGGGATGATCCTTTTCAGTCATCTATCCAAGACTGGTATGTGTGTGTGTGTGTGTGTGTGTGTGTGTGTGTGTGTGTATGACATATATATGACATATATATATATACTGACATCTCTATTTATATATCTATACCTATATACAGCTTCATCCCAGATCCTTTTCCTGATTATATCTCCATATTCATCAGACTAATAAATATCTCAAGTATTTCACTAACATCAAACTCAACATATCAAAAACTAAAATCATTTCCTCCTATGCCAAACTCATTCATCTCTTTAATTTTAAAGAATGAAACCACTAACCATTCAACTGAGTCAGCCAAAAATCTGATCAGCAACCATGATACCCATCTCTCCTCATCTTTAATTTTATCTCTTCTCAGATTGGTATCTTTCAATTTTATCTACTTCTCATCTCCATTACAACAAACTTAGTTTTGGTCACCATGCATTGCATGAATTATTCTAACAGCCTCCTAAATAGCCTTCCTACAAGAGTTGTATCCTTTCCAACCCTTTTAAAATGTAAATCTGTTAACACTCCATTACTTAAAACTCTTCAAAGACTCCCCAGTGCTCCAAGGATAAAGTCCAAACTCCTTAATATGGCTTACAAAGTCCTTTACCATGTACAACCCACCTAATTCTTGCATGATCACCTTATATCTGATCCCTCCCCCCCAGTGGCTGCATTAACGAATGTCACCATTTACCAAATTGCTCAAGACAGAAGCCTGGCCTTTCTCCTTCCCATTGCCTTCTATAATTTGTCACCATATCCTCGTTTCTACCTCCAGCATCATCACCCTGGTTCCAAGTTACCGCATTTTTCTCACCGACTACTAACCTAGCCTTCTCTCATTGAGGAGAGAATAAAATAGAAGGTTCTCATGAATAAACTGACCAACCAGGCTTAATCATCTTTCTTCTTAATGAAACTCCAGTCAGGGTAGAAGAGAAGGGAGAAGAGGGCACGGAAAGAGGGAGCAACCAATAACCAAGGCCTTGCGTTCAATTTCAGTGGTCACTCGCTCATGGCTCACCTGAATGAACTTCTAATATTTTCAGATCTTTATTAAATAAAATATTCCTCACTGCTGATGCCATTTATTTGTTTTCAAGATTCTTTTGCTTCCCAGCCACAATCACATTGTCTTTAAACTTGTCCCATTTTCATAAGATTCCTTCTTCCAACTGCCCAGAGGAGAGTGACCAACAACTAAGGCACCTTTTGGGCAGCTTGTTTCAATCCTACTTCTTACTACTCAGCCTCTAATCATTAATTAACAGGTAGGGGACTTATTCCCATAACCCACTCAATATTTGGGAAACAGCATTTACTACTGGATCACAGGCAGCTGTCTCCATCCTCAGTCTGGCCTGTGGGGCCATCACCCTTCCTCTTCCAGAGACCATGTCTCTGTCAACAACTCCTCCTCAGCTCCCTAACTGCCAAGAACCATGAAGGGTTTGAGACTTTATCCTACCTGTAAACTAACAAGTTAGTCTGGCACAGTTTTGTGGGTGCTGTCAGGAGACTTGAGATTCTAGGGCTGGACACAAGGGACCTTATTACTCATAGCAATAGCCAAAGTATCATTGTCTTGATCTGGTTCCCAAGCCCCAATTCCAACAGGACAATCAAAGGAAAGTCCAGGTGATATATATAAATGCAGGGAGTGACATTACAGGGAGGAACCCTGAACCTAGGGAACCCAAATCTTTTATAGTGTCCTTTGCTCCAGAAAGAGACACTCTCTGTCTTCTAGGTCACTAAGTAAACTTGCCCTTTGTTCTAAAGGGAGACATCATTTCTTCTCTATCCTCTCTATCAGAATAAAGGGAATCCATTACCTCTGTCTGGAAGACATATAGAAACATACAAAACTCATGGAGAACTGGCCAATAAACAGCTACTTATAAAAAGATAAAGTAAAATGATTTCCAAATTCATTACTTATTAACAAACAGACCAGACTTGCATCAGGTGGTGGAGAGTACACTTTGCTGATAAAATTCAGATAGTAGACATCAGCTCTCAATGGTTCTGTATGGGGGGAGGGGGAGGTGCCTGGGGCAAAGTCAAATATGAGCATTAATTGAACAAATTCAAAGTTAATTGCTCATATTCATTAATTTGCTTGAATTCTGAACCTAATTACATATTATTTTCACCATCCCTATTTAATAGTGATGATATAAATTGACTCTTTGAAAATACCAAACTTTTATAAATTACTCCATACCTCTAGACTAGAAAACACTTCAAAAAGCTAGTCCTTAAAAGTTAGAGCCAAAAACACATCTTCTAAAATAAACTTACTATGGGAGGCATATGTCTAGTTTTTTTTAATTAGCAATACTTTTATGTTGAGAGACATGTTAAGATATACTTACTGCTTACTTGTCCACAGCAATCAGTTCAGAAATTTAAATACTAGATCAATATTTAACAATCAAGGAAAAAAAATATACTGTTACATCAACTGATTTTTCTTTGAATTTAATGAGTTTACGTCAAAAAATCAGGTAGTCATTTTACATTTAAGGAATAAAAATCTTTAAAAAAAAATACAAAGAGTGAAAGGATTTTAACCAAGTTTACATTTCTTTTTGCTATAGTTTTTAACAATTCATCTCATCTTATTGCAATGTGCAAATGCATTTGCAGCACCCATTACAATCATGAAACTAAATTTAAGGAAGTACATTGTTAATAATAACTCAAAGGAAACTGATTTACTTTCTACTAAAAACTCTGTGGCAAATAAGCATTACATAATAATGCTATTTAACCACCTCTTGTCATAAGAATCATCACCAAAGTTTTCTGGAAATAAGTCCACATAAGAATTAAATATTTAAAAGGTGAAATGTTCCTTATTTTAACTTTAGCAAGATCTTCCTTTTTCATTGTTAAGAAATACTTTAATAGTGATAAGCAAAAGCTGTTAAGAGTAGAGTCTAGATAGCTAAAACTGTACTCCTGAGTTCAAACTTACAGATAAGTCTTTAGTAAATAGTTCTCAATAAAATATCCTCCCTCCCCATCCCCCTGCCCCAAATCTTGTATTGTTTCTTACAAAACTTTGGTCAAGAGTAGAAATATATCCAGGCAGATGTATGTGCCATACAATAGCAAGAACAGTAAAGCCCAACTAATGACTTTGGGTTTTAGAAATAGAAGGCAATTAAAATGTACTCAAAGTTACATTAAGAAAAGCTTTCACAGGGTAATATTGAAACAGTCACAAAGGTTAAGAAAATACTGATATCAAAGTACAAATGACTACAATGTTAAAATAGACAAAAACTACTATACAAGAGCCTCTTTTAAAATTAAAAATAAAGAACACAACACATGAGTCAGGATTATTTTCCTGTTCTACTCATGAATTTTAGTCTTTATATTCATAGGGTTGGTTATGTTGACATCTAGTAGAGTTTCTTATGACATCTGATGAGGTTTCATTCCAACATCAAAGGGTGGTTCTTCCCTAAGGAGCCGCTCAATTCTGGTCACATCTTGGTCATTGTACTATTTCAAAGTAGTGCAGTATTGCCATGATGTGCTGAGGCATGAAGACATATCCCGTGTACAGTGCCATCCCCACGATGGAAACCAGCATGGAATCTGAGTTGTAGTTAAGGAAACAATTTACTTTTTCTTAATTTATTCAAAAGTAAATCCCCACATTTTTTCAACTGCTTTATGTTGAAGTACCCATTCACTTAATACTTTCTCATATATGTCAAGAACTCATCATTATAGCCACTAATATTAACTATGCCTGGCACCTTCCAAGATAGGTATCTGTTTGTTACTTTCCTTATTATACTTCGAAACATCAGACAGCTTAAAATGAAGCATACAAAGTGACACTGTTCAACCTAAGAAACAGCAATAAAAATAAAACTGTATGTAATGACTTCAAAAGGTCTACTAACTTCAATAATAATGTATGAGGGAAAAAAAGAATGCATGATCCAAGAATGTTTAGATTATTTAGATGATTTGGCTAAAAGCACCAGCTTTTAGAATCTGAGCTAAAATCAATCATATACTTAATGACATATAAGCTGACAGTACCTACAACTATTAAACATTTATTACTATTATCACTAAACTTTACAACATCAAATAAAAGTCATCTTGACAATCTAAACAACGAATATTTGTATTGTTTTCCTTTTTCCTCATTCCAAAGGAACTAAAATGGTGTACATGCAAATCAGCAAGGGGCCCACTTCTTGGGCCACACAAAATACTGCTAATGAAAAGTCCATAAAATCTAAGGGCTTTCTGCTTTGCTATCGTGTCGCTATGTTCAAAGGAAGAACTGCTCCTGAACTGGGACCACATTTTATTAATTCATTCATTCATATTCTCTCTCTCTCCCCGTCCCTGCTCCTATCTTTCACACCTTTCAGCTCTACATACTAGTAGTTCTACAATGTGACATTCCTTCACGAGAAGATAGGGTTTAAATAAACAATGTGCTTACTACCAACTAATATTTGTATAACAGTTCAGTTGACAAATCTCTTTTATGCTATCTTGCTTGACCCTAACAGCTTTCCTGTGAAATGTTTATCATGACCATTACTCATCTGAGCCTGACAAACCACTGAGTGACTTGACCGGGGCCCTACAAGAAGCTATCTCTGGAGCCAGAGCACAAACTGAAGCCATCTGACTTAAACCTTCAATTCATTCTCCTCATCCAGCAAACATGGATGAAAGTCTCCCATAATCATTTTTTAAATTTACTTTTTAGCCTCCCTTAATCCGGTTCTTTCTAAAACTACCACCTTCTATTTACCTCTTAATTTCTCTAAACACACACACACACACACACACACACACACACACACCACACCACTTACTGTTTCCATATTCTTGCCTATCACCCACACAACCACCTAAATCCTACCCCTGCAGGCTACTGACACTGTTCGCAGGTCACCAACAGCCACCTATCAAAGCCAATGGCTGAACTGACAGGTTGAGTCCTTCCTCCTCAAAACTCTTCCCACTCAGAGCTAAGAAGGTACTTTTCTCTATGATTCTCCTCTGATTTCTCTCACCACTTTCCTGTGTCACCAGCTCTTTTTCCCCTCTCTCTGTCCCTCATACATAAGAGAATTAGAGTGAATTTTGTACTTTTGTCCCAAACACCCACTCCACCCCTTTTCCTAGTATAGTAATCATGCTCTTTAGATGGGCCTAACCTAACTCATCTCCAGCCTGGACTGATCTTCACCAATTAGAAAACCCTTCTCTTGGTCACAATGCCCACCCTCAAAACTGATCAATCAGCTCAAAGTTTAGAATTTCTACCAGGAATTAAGGAACACAGATTCTCTCCTAAAAACGCAGCTTGCTGATGAAATCCTGGAATCACAAGATTCACTTTGCCCCCATGAGGAAAGCAAAACTTAGAACGAAGCTGACCCATGAAGGTGATGGAAAAAAAATAATCACAGAAAAATGGAGCCAGAAACCTCACCAAAACACCTGAAACCCACCCTACTACTGGATTTTCAGATACAGAAGCCAATAAACTCCCTTTACTCTTAAACTGGTTTTATATTTTGTTATACTTGTAGGTGAAAGCATTATTAAAATAAAATGGAATCCCCAAAGTTTTGTCTTCGGCCCTACAAACTCTTACAGCCTAAACAATCACTTTAATGTTGTTTACCTGAAACCACCTTCTGTACTGCAAACAAGTATTTCCTACAACTTACTAAACATTTTCACCTATGACATTCCTGAGGTACTATAAATTCAAGAGAGCCAAGACCGAACTCATTAACTTCCTCCAAAACTACCTCTTTCTATGAGTCCTATTTTTTCCACTATTTGAAATAGTTGATATAACTATTAACTATTTGCCTAGTCACTCAAACTAGAAACTTCTTTGATTCCTCCTCCACAGATTCCAATTATCTAAGACTTCTCAGTTCTTCCCAACCCCTACGAATGACTTTTTTTTTCCTACGAATGACTTTTATATCTCATGTTCCCCTACCTTAATCTATGATAAATGAGTGAGGTATTTATCATTCCATAATTGTGTCAAAGCTCCCATTGTAGGCCTCTAGCCACTTCCACGCCACTCTTTACTAAGCAATCCTTTTAGGGATCTGGGTGGCTCAGTCAGTTAAGCATCTGTCTTGTGCTCAGGCTGTGATCCCAGAGTTCTGGGATCAAGCTCCACATCAGACTCCCTGCTCAGTGGGGATTCTGCTTCTCCCTCTCCCTCTGCTTGTGCTATCAAATAAATAAATAAAACCTTTTAAAAATAAAATAAAGTGATCCTTTTAAAATACATTAGGAGGGGCACTGGGTGGCTCAGTCAGTTGGGCATCTGCCTTTGGCTCAGGTCATGATCCTGGAGTCCCAAGATCAAGCCCACATCGGGCTCCCTGCTCAACAGAGATCTTACTTTACCCTCCTTCTCTGCTCCCCTTCCACCCCCGCCCCCCACCTCTGCTCATGCTCTCTCTCACTCTTGCTCACCCTCTCTCTCTCAAATAAATAAAATCTTTTAAAATAATAAAATAAAATAAAATAAAATACATTAGGCTTCCCAATGCTACAGGATAGCATTTTGAATTCTAAGCCAAACATCCAAGAACCTTTCTAATCTAGTCCAAAGTACTGGTCTTGGGTTGGAGTCCCTAGAAATAGACCGAAATTGAGAGACTTGGGCAGGGATTCTTGTACAAATTATTCTTGAGAGAGTTTTAGCAGAAGAGGAGTATGTAGAGCAGAATTGAGCAAGGAGGAAAAGCTAAGTAGGTTGAGGGGCTCAGCTCCCACAGGATTCTCTGGAGCATGAATCATACCACATGTTGGTTTTGCTTTGAATCAAGAGGCCTGACTTTCTATATCTCTTTATCTGTCAATCATTGGCTGTAGAAGTGAGTGAGAAAAACCCACCTGGGTAAGACAGCTGCCTTGGCCAAAGCTAATACTCTGAAGAAGGGGACAGCTAGAAGGGATTAGCAGACAACAGCTGGGGGAGAGATATATCAGCTAGTATAGGGGGTGAAGGTGGAGACCAAGAACATCACCTACTATGCTACTTTCCCCTGACATTCCAAACAATTCCAAATAATTCCCTCCAATGACAAACACATCCTACTCACAGCCATAATATGTCTCAGAAAACAAGGCTTTATATTTTCATACTGCTCTGCTTTTGCTTATGGTTTAATAATAATATGAATAATAGTAGTAATAGCAATTTTCATTCTGTGAATGTCCACTGTGTTAAATCCTTCAGCAAGTTCAAGTAATCTTGAATCTCAAAATCAGAGTAAGCAATGGAGCCAATTCCAAATCAAATCAATCACACCAAAAATCTGTGTTCTTAACCATTATGCATATAATGCCTTTCTATATGTGAAAAATCTTATTCCATCTAATAAAATCCAATCATTCTTAGAGCCTGGTTTGTAGTTATCCTCTCTCATCTGAGGCCTTTCCTAGCTTTCATATTTTTCCCATTCTTACTCCCAGCTTCCTGGCCCTACTGCTCATAAAGCTTTTTCTTCATATAATTTGGCACTTATCACCTGACATTGCCTATTCTTTTATATATTTATCTCATCCAGATTTTCAACTTCTTGAGTATGGGAACAATGTCTTCTACAACCTCCAACATCTAACATAATACATGCTTAACATTTGATGAATAATGAAATTCCTCAAGAAACATTATTTGATTCTAGATTCACTGTGGCACTTTCTGCACATTTCACACACATTACTGTGATGAAAAGCTTCATAGTGACTACAGAAAAGAAAAATAAGATCTATTTCTAGGCAATATTGTATTTTCAGAATGTTTATGTTTTTTACACTTTTATTTTCAAGTCTTACAAATGTACACACTAGGGTGTCTAGGTGGCTCAGTGAGTTGAACATCTGACTCTTGATTTCAGCTCAGGTCATGATCTCTGGGTCGTGGAACTGAGCCCCAAGTCTGGCTCTGTGCTCAGCTGAGAATCTGTTAGAGATTCTTTCTCTCCTCTCCCTCAGCACCTCCCCCATTGCTCTACCAAGTAAATAAATAAATCTTTAAAAATAAAGCAAATGGGGATCCCTGGGTGGCGCAGTGGTTTGGCGCCTGCCTTTGGCCCAGGGCGCGATCCTGGAGACCCGGGATCGAATCCCACGTCAGGCTCCCTGTGCATGGAGCCTGCTTCTCCCTCTGCCTGTGTCTCTGCCTCTCTCCCTCTCTCTGTGACTATCATAAATAAATAAAAATTTAGGGATCCCTGGGTGGCGCAGCGGTTTGGCGCCTGCCTTTGGCTCAGGGCGCGATCCTGGAGACCCGGGATCGAATCCCATATCGGGCTCCCGGTGCATGGAGCCTGCTTCTCCCTCTGCCTATGTCTCTACCTGCCTCTCTCTCTCTCTCTCTCTCTCTCTCTCTCTCTCTCTCTGTGACTATCATAAATAAATAAATTTTAAATAAATAAATAAATAATAAATAAATAAATAAATAAATAAATAAATAAAAATTAAAAAAAATAAGCAAATGAAATGGTAAAGATTTTCAAATCATTGGCTCAAATTCAACTCAACTAGGAAGTGATTAGTAAAAACAGCCATTTGAA